CCATCCCAGAATCGTGCGGTCGTGGAGTGGGCTCAGCGCCTTTTGGGCGAGCGACTGTGCCGCCGTGCCGAGCACACCACCTTGCCGTGCTGGCCGGTGTGGCGCACACCAAGCGACGTCCTCTGCGCTTGGCTCCAGCGCTGCCAACTTGTCGCGAACGCTTGCGGGAGCTGAGGGGAGCGCAGTGTGTGTCTGCGTCTGTGTCTGTGTCTGTGTCTGTGTCCCTGTCGTGTCGTGTGTGTCGTGTGTAACTCTCGCACTGGCCACTGCTCTATCTTAGCTCTCGCCACAGGCTCTCAGCGCCTCGCCCTCGCCCCTCGGGGCCCTCCCCGCCCGCACGCTCGACACACGACAGAACCCGGACGACGTGCGTTTTTGCTTCTCTACAAAACACGCACACCCACGCCCGCCCCAGTGAGCGGACCCAGCGCCATCGAGAAGAAAGACTTTGGCGAGCCAACGCAGCCGAGAGATAAATTCTCCATAAAAGAGAGCCTAGCCGCTATAGCGGTGCAGAGCGCGAACTCGCCGTACTGAGCCTAGCGCAGCGCGAACTCGCCGTCTGAGCCTAGCGCAGCGCGAACTCGCTCCTGTTCATAGCTGCGCAACCCTAGCCGAGCTCCATTTTTCTTTTCTTTTGCGAGCGAGTTTTGTTGTAAGATTCTTTTCTGTGTCGAGCCTGTGTGCTGTGAGAGAGATTTCTTCTGGGTTCCTTAAATTCTCTGAGGACGCCCAGCCCTACTTGGTTGCCCGAACGTGGAGCCGCCATGCCAGACTCAGCTGTTGGAGATCTACTGGGGCTCGCATCGCCGGACGCGCCGGCGCCGGTTGCGACTGAGGAGAGCGTCAAGCCGGAAAGAAGCGCGACCGTTCGCTACCTATACCACGAGCCGCAGCTGTCTTCGCTTTGCGGTGTGCATGCGCTCAACAATCTGCTGCAGGGTCCATACTTCGGGGCTGGCGACCTCGGTGAAATTGCGGCACGCGTCGAGACTCGAGAGCGCGAGATCCTCCACGACGCGGCGCTGGCAGAGCGCTCCGCCTCGAGTGGCCATGTGGACGCGAACTTTGGCGACTTCTCGATCGAAGTGTTGTCGGCGGCCCTCGAGGGTCACGGGCTGCGGCTGCTCAACATTGCCTCGTCCGAGGTGGTGGTCCAGATCGCCTCCTCCCCCGAGCACTGAGAGGGCTATCTCTGCCACCGAGGCTCGCAC